ACAACCACTAACGCACTTTCTGTCTCTAAATGATATGGAAAACAAAGACAAAAGAAAATATAGATAATATTAAATTTCCTTATAAACTGCAGCCCACTGACAAATATTCAAGGCAGGCAGAGTGTGACATTTCTCTAGGAACTCCCAAATGTCTTAATGTTAATGCTGTGCTAGAGGAAAAAAACAACCTTAGGTAGACAACAGGTAGGCCTCCAGGATCCTCAGGCTTCTTTTGCATATGAAAATCCTTTCGTAAACTTCCTGTCTTTACTTCTCCCAACTCCCAAATATATCATCAATTGCTCTTCACAACCCCAGTGCAGTTCCTTCTACCCCAGAGTCCTATCCCCGTGTTTTAATAAAACCACCTTTCTGCACTGAAGACATCTCAAGAATTCTTGGCAGTTGGCTCCAAACCCCAACACTTTCCACATCATAAACACATTCCTATTGAAGGCATTTCATACCAGCAGAATCACACACCATAGTTAACACCTCTTTTGAGAAGTGTTCTAATTCACCTCATGTTTCACCCAGATTCTTTCCCTCCATTCTCATGTCAGCCAGTGTTATCTCCAACATTAGGAGGAAGCCACGTTACAAAATGGAGAATAACTTACTCAGTTAATGGGCAAAGCTGGAATTCAAACTTGGTTCTTTAAGTTTTCCAAGTGCAAATGGCTAAAGTTTTTAGTTCAGACTGGATGATTCAAATATGAGTGAAACCTGCTGGTATAAATGGCAGCTGGGCTTGGGCTGATCTCTTGGGCTGTAGTGAGGCTACAGGGCAGCAATAGAGTCAAGACTGAAGGAAGCTCACCCTCAGCAGATAATGAAAGCTAGAAAACCAGCAGACTAAGGAACTGGCTGCTGGTCTGCTCCATGGACCTAAACTGCAGATCTACTATGGTAAGGTTGCATCCTTAAGGAAAGGAAAAACAAAAACCAAAAAACCCTCAATGCCACCTAGCTATATGCGTATGTGACAACATCCCTCACAACCTTGTAACATGAGACCACTTAATCAGACTACATGTTTGTGTGTTACCATAAATGGGAGACAAGGAAGTAAAAAATATATATATATAAAAAAACTATGCCACATGCCATTCAGGGTTCAGTTCTTTGCGTAGGAACCCAACTAAGTGGTGCCCGGCAGGAATAAAGTTGCTTCCTGGAAAGAAAACCCTCAGTATCATGACTTTTTGTGCAAGAATCCTGCTACACTACCACCCAAGCTAGTCCCACCCCTGAGCGTAAGGACCAGTATGGGAACTGAGGTCTTCTCTCTGCCCCAAACAGAACACAGTGGTGTGAACAGGCCCCTTCCCTGACACTTGACATAAGGTAAGCCCCCTTTTCCTCTCATTCTTCCTAGAGCACTTCAGCCTGACTGTGGGAGGGTGGCTCATGCTGGTTGCACCACAGAGTCACTAAAGGGACAAACTTTTAACACAGGGTCACCTGTGCCCTACATCTAGAGGGCGTTAGCCTGCTGAGAGAGAGGCCAGCTGCACCCAGCCCTTTCTGTGGCCAATCCAAAATGCCTGGCTTGGTGGAAATGGCAAATCATAATTAAACAACAGTCTAGTATGCAGAGGCTTGAATGTACAGTGCCTAGACTACTGGTATTTGGGAACCAGGCTCAGGGGCGAGCCTCAATGCAGGACAATTTGTTAGAAAAAGGAGAAAAAGTAAAGAGAAAGCATGGCAAAACTAGATTCATGCAACAGGAAGTTGCCCTTCTTGCATTCTTTCTCAGGAAATGTGCCAATGAGGACACTTGTGTTAGGAATATTTGCTGTAGGCATTAGCCAGAGAAGCCATGTAAGCCTGGCTGGCTGTGGGGCAGGATGACATCCATCCGGCGGCCATCTTCTAAAGAAAGAAGTGTTTGGGGGTGCTGAGTCAGCTAAGAGCAGGGTGTAGAGGCCATGCAGTGCTGGGGGTGAGCTAGGAGCTATGTGATGTTACCCTTCATTGATTAACAACTTCCCATACTTGAAAGTTACCATGCCCCTATGGAGATCTCCACCAGCCTGGCTTTTTGTTATCTTCTCTTTTCCTACTAAGAGTCCATCCCTTTTCTTTGAGGCTTTCATCTCTGGCCCTATTCTTGCCTTTTAAGCCACGTTTCTAGAAGGAGGGGTGTAAAAATATAATTCCTCGTCTGCCTCCTGCAATCTGGACTCTGCCCCTCTGGGTCTACACTCCAGTGGTGTAGCCCTCCCATTTCTTAGGCTGCCTGTGGAGTCTAGCATGCAGATTTTCTCCTGAATGTCCCTGTTATGCCTCCACCATTGTGCCATCCTTGGAACTACACCCCTATCACATCCAAGGACACCTGCTCCTGACTGTGGGGTTATTCTGTCTTTATTCCTTTCCTTTTTTTTCCTAGCCCTCTGTCCCATGTTCCTGGGACCCTTCCCTGAGTTCATACACGACCTCTAGGTGGAAGGTCTTCAAACCTGTATCTTTAGCTCCTCCTCTCCTGAAGCCCTGGTCCACTTTTTTTTCCATCAAAATATGTCACTGCACCTGATGCACTTTCCAGACCCTCAAACTCAGGAAATCTCAAAAACCTCATTTTCCTTTCTTCTATGGCTTCTCCTAATAAACACACTGAAGACAAATTTCCCTTCCCTGGACATATTTGTGTTTTTGCCTAAATCCCTCTTCTGACTCTTTTATCTCCCTGCTCTAAAGTATCATCTGTAATAGTAATATCAGCAACATCCACAATAGTTGCAAATGTTTATTAAGCACACTTCTGAAAGCTTGGTGTGTATTAGATTGACTAAAACTTTGCACCAAGGACTTGAGGAGATTCCTCTGATCCTTCCTATTACACAGATGAATAAAGTTAAGCAGATTGCCCAAGGTTATCCAGCTAGAAAGTGTGGGCTCCAGAGCCTGTCAGCCTTAGCACTAAGCTGGACGTGTTTAATAGCCCTGTGACAGGGACACATGGGTGGCTTAGTTGGTTAAGTGTCTGATTCTTCGTTTCAGTTTAGTTTGTGATCTTGCAGTTTGTGGGATCGAGCCCCATGTAGGGCTCTGCGTTGATAGTGCAGAGCCTGCTTGGAATTCTCTCTCTTCCTCTCTCTCTGCCCCTTTCCCACTCATGCTCTCTCTTTCTCTCAAAATAAACATTTTGTTTCTTTGCTTGCTTGTCTTACATAGCCCTATAACAAAGGTAGTTCCTGGAAGGCAGGACTAAGAGCTGCTGACTTAGGGTTGAATCCATTTCAGTGTTAATCTAACTCAAGAGCTGGCAACAAAATTGTGAACAGTCATCAGAGTGCAAGAACACTGCATCTTTCAGGGGTGCTGGAAGAACCCCACAGAGAAGACAGACTTACAAGATGGTCTTTGATGAAGGAGGTCTACCCTTCCTCTTTGGTAGAGTTGGCTCCCCAAAATTTCCCATGAACGACTATGCATAGAATATTCTCCCTAGAGGATGTCCTCACTACGCTTCAAGATGGTTATTTTAGAGTCTTTGGAAACCCAGCATCTGCTCCATTCAGCTGATGTGGTCCTGGAGACTCACAGTAGTGCTAAGAATGGTGCCATATACAAAGTTCTGGGGACAATGGGATAATGGGCCTATGGCCACAGAGGCTGGAAAAGCCCACAGCAGACCAATTATAAATGAGTAGTTGAGTAGTCTCCCCCTAAATTTTACATATCACATTTTTACATTTTTCTTAACTTTTATCCTCTTACTTGGTTCTTTTAAGGGATGATCTAACATTTTCCAAGTTCTGACTTCAGAAATGGATCAACAATTTCAGAGGGTGACTGCGCCATCTCTTGGCAGCATACACATTTTACCCTATTAGATACTTTTCATTCACTGATCACCTGGCAGCATGATGGAAAGTCTCCTGTGTGGTGGGCATAGGCAACAATGCTGGATGTGCCAGTGAACGTGAAGATTCAGCCATACACTGAAAGGTCATGAAAATGAAGCTCACTTCCATAAAAGAGAGCACCTCACCTCACCCCCACATGTCTGTGGGGGCCACTCTGTGCTTAGACTACTAAGCAGTAGACTGACCAGTCACCCCACACCTCAAGCAGGAAAGCTGGAAGATGGCAGAGAAAAGGCACCAAGTCCTTCACACAAAAGGACTAAGCTTAAGAGAGCAGACTAAGGCCCAAAAGGTCAAACATGAAGTCCTCAGGTTCTTGCTCACATATTTAATTCGTTCTCTGTAAGGCTGCCCCCAGTGCTCTAGCACCCAACTTAGCAACTCCATGCTGACACTCCCTTTTCTCTCCCATTTTATTTTTCCCCAAGCCAACCAACTACACACACACACACACACACACACACACACACACACACACACACTTATTATTTTTGAAGTTTCCAAATGAACATGAAAGTAGAGATTAGCATATACTTTCCATGTACCCATTGCCCAACTTTAGCAAGAGCCAACACATTTATCTACCTTTTTTGCCTTTCCATTTTGGAGCAAGGGATAGAACTATTTGACACACTATATACTATACTTATTTTTTGTTTGCTGATGGTCTCCCTTTTCCCATAACTAGAATGAAATAAATATGAAGGCAGGTCACTGCATTACTCTTAGAGTCTTCAATGGGGTCTATCACACAGCAGATGCTCAATACTGAGTATCTAAGTGAAAGAATGAATGAGTTTCTACCTAGGATCTCTCATGCGGCCCCTGTGCTTGCATTTAATGGGGCTATGTGTAGTCAACCATACTTCCCTTGTTCCCCTCACCTTTCCAGGGCCAACCAGAGGAAGCAAAAGCAGTAACTAGTCATCACAGGTAACGTGGCTAAGTTTCTACTGCAGACAAGATCTTGCAAACAAGTCCCATAAGCAACCAAGGGGCTCAAGTATGGGCAACATTCCTAAAAGGCTACAAAGGTGGCAAAGAATATTAAATGCATATTTTAGAAATATATATATGTTTGTCAAACAGAAGAGCAAGCTCAGGCATATGTACAATACTCACATGCAACCACGAAACCTAGTCAGGTCGTTGTTTGGCTTCTCACACTCGATTATACTGGTGAACGTCAAAGGATTGAATTCGGAGACCTAAAATAACAGCATGCATACGTTAGAGAAATGGTTTAGACCATTCCATTCTAAAAGGCACTTGCTCTTCTGTCTCACATCCATGTGCGTCAGGGAAATTTCATGGAATGAGTCTGCCTAGTAACCTCTGGAGAATGCCAGTGTGCACACAGCACTTAGCTCATGCTTTCTCATTTTTTTCTACTGACTGATAACCATCACTGTAGAATGAACACCAGTTAGTAGAACAGTACTGGTAAGTGATCTGAAAAGATTACTACTCGAAAATAATATAGTATAGTATAGAAAATAATACTACTCGAGATAACAGCAAAGGAAGCCACTAATGATTGAAAGGGATGAATGGGTTTTTTTGAAACAGACCAGAGCCCTCCAATTTCCTATACAGATTTAGAGAAGCAAATTCCATCTGGAAATTAGGAACTTATAATAAAATGACATTTCCTCAGTGTGCACTAAAATTTTTGCACAAATATTTGATGAAAAACATCTAAATAACCAATGTGTGGGGTGCCTGGGTGGCTCAGTTGCTTGGGCATCAGACTTGAGCTCAGGTCATCAGTTTGTGAGTTTCAGCCCCACATTGAGCTCTGCGCTGACAGTTCTGAGCCTGGAGCCTGCTTCAGATTCTGTGTCTCCCTCTTTCTCTGCCCTTCCTCACTTGTGTGTGTATGCACGCATGCTCTCTCTCTCTCAAAAATAAACATTTAAAAAATACATAATCAACGTGTAAGTCCACAATTTATTATTGTTTGATGAAAACAATGATAGCTCACCATAAAGTCTCTTATTGGTAATTTTGCCACTGATAAGATGCAATAGTGCCATAAACCATACAAATAGATCGGGGTGGAAAGTGGGAAGGAAGAGGGGAGAAAGGAGGGAAATGCAAGGAATAAGTCTTTTGGATAAGTAACTGACAATAGTTAACGGGTTTTTAAAAAAATCAGCTCTCTTTCAGGCTTGTCACTCTCTTCTCTCTACCAAGTGTCACAACATGGTAAAAAATTTAACTCTTTGCTCACACAAGTAAATGATCACACAAAAAGTGCAAGTGGGTAAAAATCACAGCAACTGCATAAATACTGTTAACACACTCCATGTGATTATTACTCTACCACAACATCATCATTTCCAGCACCAAATACAGCCAAAACGGGAATTACTCAAACGTCAGTTCTTACTGTTTTCTAGTGCATTGTGTACATTAATCAGAGAATTCACTAGATAACAGTAGCTTAATTCAATAGCTGAAATTAAAATGCCATTTTAAAAGGCTCTTCTTGAAGTTTAATGAGTCATCAGCTCTGCTCTTCTTGGACTGAAATGGCCTCTGGCTCTATTTCCAGAGTGAGGCTATGTTTCAAGCTGCCTTGTGTTCATTTAAAGTCATGCAAAGTATCTTAAAGCCAGTTGGTTGCCTTTTCCAGGGCAGACATCTGCAGATACAGCATCCAGGATAGCCATGAAGGGACTGAGTTCCATGGCACACAGGATTATTCTTGGCAGACAAGGAGGGTGCACTTAAAATACTCTGTTATTCTTTCTATGAAGAATGTAATGTGAATGGCTCAGAAACGGTAGGACATTCTGTTTCTGTACTTCAGCGCTGCATTCGTAATGTTCTATCAATAACCATGTGCCTTGGGGAATGTGCAGTTCCAAGGCAAAGTTGCTTGGCTTCATCCACTTCGTCTGGAATTGGGGAGAATTTTGAGGCTTTTTAGAACTGGAGGGAATCTTCAAAGACTGTTATAATTGAATTGTGTAACCACCACAACCCCTGCCCCACACCCCAGAACTCACATGTTGAGCCCTAACTCCTAGAACCTCAGAACGTGACCATTATTTGACACAGGAGCTTTAAAGAGATAATTAAGTTAAAATGAGGTCATTAGGGGGAGCCCTAATACAATCTGACTGGTATCCTTATAAGAGGAAATTTGGACACATATACCAAGCGACAATCATATAAAGATAAAGGGAAGAGATAGCCATCTATAAGCCATAGAGGGGGTGCACAGAAGAAACCAACCCTGTGAGCTCATTGATCCTGGACTTCCAGCTTCCAGAACTGTGAGAAAGTGAATTTCTGTGGTGTAAGCCACTTTGTCTATGACATTTTGTTATGGCAGCCATAGCAAACTAAAACAGAAACCATGTTTTAGTTTCTCATTTAAAAAGAGTTTCACATCCAGGGCACACCTTTTAGATGGAAAAATTCTACTTACGTTGATTGTTTCTATGTAAATTTGCAATGTAATAATATCTATTTAAGAAATTTATTTATTTTTCTCTCCAGCCACTCATCTATCTGTCTGCTTCATTCCAAACTGGCTTCAAGGTCACGCCCTAGCCACCATCAGCCAAACTTCTGTCAATCCTGTCCCCTGGAGCATGGACAGACTTAGAGAGCCCCAATCCATCCTTCCATCCTGAGCATGCTAACTCCATTTTCCTCTTTAAAGCAGATACACAGTTGGGGAAAATGAAAACATTCCGCAAGCAGATGGTAATAATGGTTAGTGAATAAAGTTAATGCCACAGAACTGTACACTTAAAACTGGTTAAGTGGTAAATTGTGTATAACATATATTTTTACTATGACAAAAAAAGTTTTAAAAAAAAGTACATGTAAACCAACACTGAGAATTGATTGTGAAGATACACAATCAATTAAGTAGAACACACACATTAAGTAGAACATAGCCCAGAAATTCAGGGATTTCAATACAAATATAGTAAGCATGCATAAGTAATTCTTGAGGTCACCACTAGATTGCATCATCTGAATCACTGTCACCAATTACAATTTTTTGATAGCTTGTTAAATGCCAGGCCTTGTGCTAAGTGCTATTCGCCACCATTCATGACAACACTATGAGGTCGGTTTTCATGCTACGTTTAATTTAGAGTGATTAAGGACCATGCCCAAGGTCATGCCCAAGCTCAAGAGGTCTTTGAGTAACTGACAGCAGTTCCTCAGCCTCTCAGACATACAGATCAGCTGCTGACATCTTGCTGAGGCTATCTTGCTTTAACAGGAAAAGATGACACTATATTTAATAAGCCAAAAAATGTACAATTAATTTTACAGAAAATTTCAGGGGCACCTGGGTGGATCGTTGAAGTGTTTGATGCTCTGGTCACGATCTCATGGTTTGTGAGTTTGAGCTCCGCATTGGGCTCTGTGCTGACAGCGTAAGGCCAGCTTGGGATCCCCTGTCTCTCTCTCTCCCTTTGCCCCTACCCAACTCAGGCACATGCTTTCTCTCTCTCTCTCTCTCTCAAAAATAAAACATTAAAGGGTATTGTATGGAAACTAATTTGACAATAAATTACATTAAAAATAAACATTAAAATTTGTTTTAATTCTATGGAAAATTTCAAAGATACTTAAATATATCTTTAAGTTTTAATGTTTTTAAAAACATGCTTCAGTTAAATATATTCTAGTCTGATTGTCTGTATCACCCCTTTCTCATCTTCAGCAATTCCTGTGGATGTAGAGTTAGCAGAGTTTACCCAAAAATCAAGAGATCTGGGATTTAGTCCTAGTTCTTCAGCTTAATAAATGTGAGACTTTTAGCAAGTGAAGAGAGAGCATCTGGACTTAGATTTCTGAGGTCTATGGAGCCATATGAATGCACAATTCCACAGAATGCAGAGGTGATTCTAATTCACCCTCATGCTTGTGACAGGGTCAGTACTGGGGAAGTGCTGCAGAAGCATCATTTCCTTTGAGGTGCTGTCACACTGGTCAGCCCTTAAACTGAAGCTCTCTGGCCCTCTATAGCACCACCACAGCAGGCCAAGCCTCTTGGCCCAAGTGTAGTTGATGACATTGTGGTAGGAACCCCTCCCTAAGGAGAAAGAAAAAATTGAAGAAGAGAGGAGAAGACTTCAAGGTCACCTAGATATGAGTCCAGCTGCCTACACCCCCCATGTTCCTGTAAACTGAAACAACTTAATTAGACTGCATGTTTATGTGTGTTAGCATATATGGGAGACAAAGACATAGAAAATGTATAAAAAACCTATGCCATATGAGGCAGGCTGCTCAGTTCTTTTGGGTACGAAGCCAACTGAGCGGTGCCGGCATGAATAAAGTTGCTTCCTGGAAAGAAAAGTCTCGGTGTCATGACTCTCTGAGCGAGAACCCTGCAACATTACCTGGGGGCCTCGCCCGGGACTTGGAGACGGTGGATTGCCACCTCCCTTGCCACCAGGGTATGAGCCTCGGAGCACGGGGAGAAGCGACCTCACCTGGCGCCAGCGGACCTCTTGATCCACAGGGGACTAGCCTATCCCGGCGAGCCGGGCGAGGGTCCTGTGTGTGCTAATGGAACCCGAGGCCCAGGAACCAGCTTAAGGAGCGCCGCCCATCTGACTGGTAAGAACCCGGGTTCGTTTTGGTGGACCTGCCCCTAAGAGGCAGAAGGGGAGCCTGATCACCTCCCAGAGTTGCACTAGTAAGTCCATAAGGGAAGAGGAACAAAGCTACAACTCTAAGGCGCTGGATGTAGGGCGATGGGCTGGAGTCGTTGTGTGAATGTGTGTGACTGAGACGGACAACGGGAAGGTTTCGACCTGACCAAGGGCCGAAGCGAGTGTTGAGTCCCTATCCGCGGTTCCGTGGCGACCTCATACGGCTTAAGGCGGCTTCAGACTTCCTCGGGAGTCTGATCCGGGTCAGGGATTGAAACTGAACCTGCCAATGCTAAGAGGAGCCTGAAATATCTCCGAGAGGAGAGTGGCCAGAAACGGACAAAGCAGGTGTGCGTCCTTTCCAAACTGGTCCCCCTTCTTCCCTGATCTTCCCTTTCTTGTGAGTGAAAGTCGTCTGTTAGGGGGAGGAAATGGGTGGAAAGCAGAGTAAACCGACTCCCCTAGAGTGTATGTTGAGGAATTTCAAAAAGGGATATTCAGGAAATTATGGTGTAAAATTAACTCCTGAAAAGCTCCGGACATTCTGTGAAATTGACTGGCCATCTTTTGGG